GAGGGGGGGGGAAGGAGAGGGGGCGGACGGTACAAGAAATAAAATGTATTGAAAGAAAACACTTACATCACCGGGTCCACAGTTTTGCCTGTCTTGCAGGGTCGTGGGTCTGACTACACATACGTGTACTGTGAAGAAAGCAGAAAAATATGCGGTAAATAATACATCATTTCGAACTTAAGAAAAGCAAGATAGAGAGATAGAGATGCGGAGATAGAGAAAGAAAAGAAGACTGTTCTTGAGAGTTTGGACCTTCACGTGGCGCCCACCAACCGTGCGAAAAAAAATCCGAGGGGATTTCAAACTGGCGATTATGTGAACATTTTCCTTAAACAGAGGATGGAAACAAGGGAAAGGCGAGTTTTCGTAAAGTACCTGACGCACTTTAAACACCGAAATCGTCTTTCCAGAGCCAGTGGGAACAGCGGGATCTCGACCATAAATAGCTTGACATCTACTTATGAGCTTAACAGATACGATGAGAAAGGGGTTCATAGTCCTAGGTCAGGTCACAACTAACTGAATACATATTAACAGAGAAATAGATAAATGTTTTACGCAATTCTTATTAACACAATTTGGGCCATTTATGAGGCGGGTTTCCGACCCTGACTATCAGATCCAACACGGGCTGAGAGGGATACAACATCCCAGCTGAAAAACTGAGATACAGATTAAAATTAGCCCCACTCGAGAATCGAACTCGGGTCTCCTGTGTGCGACAGCGAAACGCCTAACCGCTACACCACAGGCGTCGTTGAAATAATGATACATACCGAAATCGGTAAAGGCCTACTTCAGCACTTCATTCTTAAAATAATTTAAAATTGTCGCTCATGCATGACGTAACAACTACCCGGAGTTGGTCCCACGAAAAATGGGGTTCGGATTGGAGTGAGTAATAAGTCAAGTAAGTCCAGGATGGAGGGCTGAAATAGAATATTACCCAGGAATATAAGGAATCACATTTAAAATAATATAATCATACACGTACACACACACACACACACACACACACACACACACACACA